GAACAACGATCTCTATTACAGTCACGTGGCACAGCCACAATTTCCCTAGTTTTATAGTAATTGAAAATGATGTTGTCAATTAATTCATTATAGGTAATGATTACTCAAGTCACTTTAAAATTTCTTTTATGAATGATGCAGGTAGTTAATTTAAAATTGATAATGATATTTTTAAAAATATCACTTTTTGCCAGATATTCCACATGCAGTGGATGATAGCTCCTCTGAACAAACTTGATCTGAGCAAGAGGTGATAAAAAATTAAAAATTAGCTCCAGTTTTTCTGAACAACAAAAAATGCCAATTAATTATTCTGCACACCAAGTACAGTGGGTGCCCCATTCTTTTGGCTACTTGTTTTGGATTTCAGAGCTCCAAAACACAAACTTGAAGTCATGAGACTTGGTCAGGGGGTGCACAATAGGTCCCAAAAAATGAATAAGAAAAAATAAAAACCAAAAACAAAGTTTCAAAATTTGTGAAAAATAAGAAATAAAATTGATTTTTTTCAAAAGCTTTCATATTCATTTTGGGGGTGTGGGAGTACTGAGAGAAAGGAAGAGTGGAACATGGCAAAAATGACTACAAATGAAAAATAAAATTGGAACCAAAAAAGGTTGAGCCAGGTTGGTTGTCCAGATTGCAGTCAAAACAGTAAATTATACTGCTTTACTGGAATTTGAACTGGTTAAAACCATTTTTATCCTTTCCATTGTGCTAAATATTGCCCCCTATTTTGAGCCAGTAAAAATCCAACACCACCTCAGTGTTTAACAGTTGTGATTGACACCACATAAATCATGTTAGTCAGAAAGGATTAGTTCCACTGCAGCGCCCCTCAGGCTGATCAGTTGTTGTTGATTGATCCCCAGAGGTGATTGAAGGCCTCCAGAGATGATTGACAAGAAATCAGATACATTTGTCAGGAAATATGAGAAGAAGCTTGATGAAATCGAGAGCTGTTGAATTTTTGAACTGAGGGACTTAAGAGGCAAAGGGCCAAGAAGGTGAATTTCCTTTTTGGGAAAGGTTCACGGAAAAGAACGAAAGAACCAATGGTTTTCATTCACAAGTAGATTGTCGGATTAAATAGACTAAATACAAGTGATCAAACTGTGGTTGAGAAAATTGAATAAAAACTAAGAGACAGAATAATTTGAAGTCTTGGAAGAAACAATCTTAGCCGGACTTCTCAGTCTCTTTTAGTCAGACAAGAAAAGTTAATCAAGAAAAATCAGAAATTCTACCACAAATATTTAGAGTCGTTAATTTTAAATAATTAGCTTTTAATGAGTCAAATAATAAACTAGAAAAAGAAAGAAATCAGTCTTCAAGACTAGAGTTGTTTGATAAAATTGCCGCAGGAGTTCTAATTAGACTTCAGGTGTGCATAAGATTCTCAACAAAAAAAACTAGCTAAGAGTGACTATAATTCAGTCCAGTTTAGGATGACTCAAGAAAGAAAAAGGGAGAAAAAGATGAGAAGAAAAGAGGGTGATTTTAGGGAGGAGTAGACCAAAGACGAGAAAACTCAACAAGAGCAACGTAACCGCAATGAAGAACTCCGACATAACACACTTTACACCTTATTCAATCAACCCAATCAATCACCTTCCCAAGGTTCTCGTCTGCAAAATCGATCCGGCCTGTCTTCCACTGCCACTGGCCAGGGATAATGCTTGATCTTGTCTTTTTTATTTTTTTCCGTCTTCATATTTTATATACTTGTTGCAAATGAATCTTAACACTCACATATACATGATCGCCAGAAAAGATAAATCTTCACTTGGCATTGAGTGGCATCAGGCCCACGTCATCCAGGGGACAGAGTGAGTATAGCGACTTGATTATACTTCTTACAATTGACCCAGGTTATCTGCACACATTAAACTTGAAACACAGACTTGCAAGGGCTTTCATCTGTGGCCAAAGTTCAAACGAATCCATGACCCAAGGGGTTTCTATGCTCGTTAGGACTTGAGTCTAGTTGAGAACATTTGAGACGCCGAAATCCCCACAAGCTTCGGGAGCAAGTGAGACACATATCATATGGCAGCTCCACTCTCCTCAATCAGTCACAAAAAGTGTTGTATCGTTTTCCTAAACGAATCCCATCCTACCAGTTCACCTTACGATTCCTTGGCTATTTCATTTCACGATGCATCCACGGCGCCGAATAGTAGAAATTCTCGTCCTGTGCTGTTTACTCACAGCTCGTCACATGGCTCAGGTTGCGCCCTGTCAGTTGAAGCATGCTCGTGTTGGAGAAGGTACGCTAACCCTTCAATTTTCCGCTTTCTCCTGCACACTTTGAATTCAATAGGTCTGATGCTAACTCTATGAACACGAATGATACTTCCAGATATGACTGGTTCCACGAGCAGCCAAACCCGTTTAAGCAATCGGGAAAGTTTGGATCTCTTACCTCAAATCTCGGATATCCCAGCCGAACGGGACGAAGAAAAGACTCGGCGACAATTTGGCACAAGCGTGCAAGCGCTTCAAAACCGTAGGCTTCACATACATAATCGCATATCCACCGCGTAGGGGTTTTACCCAAGTGATTGAAAAAAGATGTTGCTCTAAATATTTTTTTCCTACAGAGTCAAAGCTTGAAGGCCGTTTCGACAGGAAAAGATGTATTTTGCTTCCTCACTTTGATTGGCCTTTTTGAATTGGAGAACTCATATATTCCCGTCTTCATACTTCGCAGGTCAAGAAGCTACCATGAAAGAAGACTTTAAGAACTTACACCGACAATTACAGATATTCACAGAGGCGGCTAAAGGGGTCTACAAAGAGAAAAATATCCCCGATCTTCTAGACAGTGTTGTAAAACTAGTCCGCATCTACAACCGCATACCAACTTTCAAGCATGATCAAGTCTTAAAATGGGAAGATAAGATACTAGTCCTTCTGCCGCAGAAACCAAATGATCTTTATAGGATCGATGAACCGCCAACTGAAATTCGACCACAAGACGATATCTATCAGGGGAAAGAGTACGTTTTACTTATTCAATTCATGTAGCCGCAAGAATCCGTCGAGCAATTCAAACAGCTGACACAGCCTCATCCAAAACCCCCCATAACTTCAGGGTACCTTTAAAGATACCAGGCACGACACGCCAAGGTTTTGAGGTTTTAAATCCTTCTGGAAGACCTTTGGGAAAGAATTTGGGCTTGAACCAATTGCCCAGTGGAATGCTGGAAGGGGAAGACCTTGATCAAGCTATGGAAGGAATCAATTGGGCATGGCTCAAGAACATGAACGATCTTTTGGTTGATATAATGTCAATTAAAGAGGCGGTCAGAATCCTCAAGACAAACCAAGGCAATTATGCAGCCTTGAACATCCAGGAGTTTGTGTTCAGGACGGTTGACTTTTGTTACCAGCATGGACTAATTGAGTTGGACTATGTCAAAAGTTTCCTTGCGAGAGGAGACACGTTGGAATTTGCTGACTTTGCAATAAAAAGAGGTATCAAAGTCAGATCACACTTATATAAGACGGGGTTTGACGGTGTGGGGTGTCTTAATTCCCATCCTTACTGCAACAATTTTGTCCAATTAGTTGATGATGGTAAGATAAAGCAATTTTCATTTTTCTTGGTGATCAGCGATATAACCGTGCCTTGTGTGTTCAATTAAAACTGAACCTTTGAAATTCCACGCAGGTATCAAGCAGAAATACTCTCATGTTGAGAACTGGATGGATGATAAGCGTTACTCACTCTAGCATCCATGCAGAAAATACATCCCACCACAAAAATAACAACATGCAGGAATATATGTCAAGATTCAAAATGACCCTTGCCCAAAAGAATCTTCTTTTTTCCGCTCAGTCTCCACTTATACCAACATTCAAACAGAACATGCATCTCAGTAATAATATCACAAATAATAATAAACAAAATAATATGTTCCATACAATACATGTCCTATCCAATGAATCTTGTTAGTAATTCAAGCCCATGGGTTGTGGAATTTCCTTCATCCTTTCTGGTGCTCAGACCTTTTCTCATGGATTTGGATTTTCATAAACAATGCTCCTATCCAGAGGGCAATATCACATCAGAAAAAGACAGAGTTAATTGAGAGCAAGCTTTGCTATTAAACCACTCAGAGTCAATCCAAATTTTTTTATTCCAAGAGAAATTCATTGGTAAATTAAACACAACAAGGAGTTTGTAAACTAAACGTTCAGTGTAATGAAAGCAGTGAGAAGTAAAATTGAATAAGATTCAGGAGATTTTCAAATCAATAGTTTCCAGTATGCTAAGCCTCATGTAAGCCATAGTAGTAGAGCTATCAGATTTGATACACACGTACATCACTTTTTGCAAGATATATAATTTCATCATCATGAGACTCTAATTTCTCAATATAAAACATCACAATTTAGTTATTGATATATGTTGATTGCAATCATCTCATTTGGATTTCATTTTTTTTACTCAATCTTGATTCTCATTATTCCACTTCAGTCCTCATGTCTTGAGATATGAATGAATCATCCAATCCTTCCCAGTGAAGTATACTGAAAATTCTGAATTTCTACTACACATTATTTATCTTTTAATTCTCTAGCCCCCTGAGACCCAAATTATACACACATTTTTGGTATTTTCTTTGAAAATGTATTTGAATTTGATTATAAGAATTGAACTATAAGTTTTCATCTCAAAAGTGTCTCAAATCAACTGATTGAAGAGCCAATTTGATTTTGAAATTTTGAAATTCTTCTCATATTTTGTGATGGCCAAGAGGTCCATGTAACAGGACAAGCATCACTGAATCCTTTTGTTGAAACACCCATGGCCACCCTTGCACATCAACCAAAAGTAGATGCAGCTACAGTATGCTGGTGAATTCTGGTTGGAGTCCTGAGCAGAGGAGAGAGGTCTGCACATTTCAGAACAACCAGAGACTTGTGAGAAACATTAGAGCTTGGGTTTCAGACTGTACAACATTGTTGAATCAGTTTTGAAAACCAGTTGAGCTATCAATTTGCCAAAAAAAAAATCCAAAACACCTTCAAAAAAAACTCAAAAGATTTTCAGACATCTCTTTATAATTGCTGCTTAATCTCTATTAATTTATACTATTAGATGATGTTTCAATGTAGATTGATGTGCTAGGTTTGCAAATAAGATTTATTTGTATTAATTTCTTCTCATTTTCCACAGTTTGATGTTGGGTTGCTCGTGACAAAGTTTCTTTTTGTAATTTTTTGTATTCACAGTGCCCCAGATTTCAGCTGGGAAAAAAACATTTGGTCATCAGGACTGGGTTGATCCTGGATACTTTTTCATCTTTTGTTCAGGAAACTTTCAAGCATGATTTTTGACATCATTTCAATGGATTAAAGAATCTACCACCACCATGGTCGTTGGAGGCAAAAGTCACTGTTACACCAAAAGCATAAAAGGAAGTTTTATATTTGGATGTACGAAATTGACTGGCTTTCACCCATTGCAGGAGGTTGTGAGTTGAACATGATTACAATGATAATACAAACAAATCATTCCTCATTGTAACTTTCGAACGGTGAAACTAAAATCATCTTACTGGATGCGGTCTTTAATTACGCACATGCACAACGAAGAAAGAGTTTTGACAACAAAAGAAATCATAATCGATGAGGGTTAAAGTTGACAGGGGGTTATAAATTTGCTTCTATTGTTCCATGGTTACTGATTTAGAACATGTGCTCAGAATTGCTCATCGAGTTTGTGGCGTAATTCTTCCTTCTTTCCCTCGGAAACGTTGGGGTTCTACGAAAGTCGAGTGGTTCGCGATGAGCTGCGTGGGCGGAGAATCTACACACTTGTTTAATTTGATTGACTTACATGGAGAGCAGCTTTCATGCCTCGTTTGACATTGTCGGGGTCCTTAACATGAACCGTCTCTTGGGCAGACCCAGACTTGAAGCCTTCGGTATCCAATCGATGCTCGGCGTGTTCCTTAGCTTCGTCCGAGACATGCTGTTGACCAACGAAGAAATCAAACACTTATGGTTAGTTGGAGTGGACTATGCAGCGCCGGGCGAGTCTCGACCCGGAGAAGGACTCGGAAAGAGCTGGGGTCTAGTGGAGCAGCCTACCGGGTTGTTCAAGGTAGCTTTAAGGCCGCCAGCCACATTGCCGGGGTTGGCCATGGTTTTTATATTCGAGAGAAATAAGTAGAACGTCGTGGTGGCAAATTTCTAGGTGGACGAAGAGAGATAATCGGGTGTAGATTTTATTTTATACTGATCGGTAAATCGGCTATGATATTTTTTTTGGGGGGGAGGCGATGATGATGGCAATCGGGGGGTGTTAGCTTACAAAGAGCTTATCAATCCTCACGAATCGGAGTCTGTCTTAATAAGAACTCCTCTGTGTATGCTGGGTGGCAGGCGTATCGCGAGAGCACGGCCACGGGCCGTTTAATTAATCTATCTATCTGACTGACCTTCTATCCGATTCACGCCTGTGAAAAAAAAAGATGACGAATCGAATCCTCGGCCTTGAACCTTACTCAGACTCAGTCAGCTATGTTGCTGCTCAGGAATGGCTTCGATTGAAATCAGTGTTTTTTTTCTGCGGTATCGCGCCAGTTTTGCAGGTGGTCACACGGGCGCATTGCGTGAGCTCGGATGACCTCAAGCGTTGGACATCAATCAAGCAGTAAAATGGCCAGATTTTAATGCTGAGCTCAATTGTGATGATCAGACACGTAAGCACTGAGCTGAGTGATATAGTCGGAAGACCTCACATCGGACTACTGAAATCGGTGACTCAATCTACCATATGAGGGTTTAACTTCAACTCAATCACGAACTTTGGTAACGGGTAATGGGCTCTTCTCTTATCAAGGGCTTTGTGGTTGCATGGGGACAAGGGATGAATGGACTCAGGACCTATCACTCTCCCTCCTAATGTGCTCCTCAAAGGCACAGGCTCTCTTGGTTTGCTGAGCAGTGACGAATCAAGTGGGTCAATGCTTCTCCATTCTCCATTTCATAGGATCCAGCGGTGTGTCCGACTAGTTTCTTTGGTTTCAATTATTCTTACTGCTAGTCTCAGATCAAAGGCTGTCCCCTCTGCCCACAGAGCATTTCGGGTGGACATGCGGGCGGGCAGAGAAGGTAACTGAACTGGACCTCCCAGCTGTCGACCGTTCACACAAATGCTTGGGAGGTCCAGCAATGGGGTGACAATGTCCACCCAGCTGGCCATGATTCCGACATGACGTCATGGTCAACTGGGTGGCCTACTTACGAGCCCTGTCATCTGAATGTGGGGCTGTCTCCTCCATGACCCTAAAGACATGTCGGCCGGGCACAGTCGACTGATGGATGATCCCACATCTCAGCCTGGTGGACGCCACAGACTTGGTAAACCGGCCTCAGTCACTACTACTTGGGTAAAGCTAGCACTTCTGCGCACAATAAGTGGAGGATGTTGTAAAAGGCAACCCATATGAACCCAATCTTGTGAAGAATATTACACTTTTCTGTGCAGGTATTTTTATAAATAAAATCTCTATCAAATTGATCATGGGGGCAGGTGAGGACCAGAATGTCAGTGTTCTAATAATATTACTTATCTTCATAAGGTCAGTTTAGTTCACTTGTGTCACTAAGAAAAGCTTCTATGTTATGGAAATGTATGCATATTACTATCTTTGGGAAGTATACACTGTAGTGTACCTTTCCATATAGATTCAGGAAAACATGTATGTTCTTCTAAGAATGAAATGATGTGTAAAGATTAGAACAAAATCTGTTCACATATCACTCAACTATACATTTGTATCTACTTGGTTCTGGAAAAGGTGGGTTTGCTAGGCTATTGGCAGGAATGCAACAGAGCTGTTAACGTAGATGAGCTTCCTTATTTCCTGCTATCCAAGCTCAATGATACCCCACTCTGAATGATTGTGTTGTTTGTGAATCTTTCCTCTCCCAGAGGTGTTTGTAACAGGATACTCTTCTGTCAGTTCAAAAAGAAGGCAAAAGTGAGTCAGATTCAAGATATTGCTCCAAACAGGTCATAATTAGAGATGCTCGACAGGTATCCGTTGTGGATACCCGTAATCTGCTGGCGGATACCCACCAGTGCCAGCGGGTGCATATTTGGGTGTGGATGGCCCCTTTTCCGCAAAACCCTTGCGGGTATCCAGGTATCCCCAAGGATACCCAAGGCCGGAAGGTGAGATGGCCGGCTGGAAGGGTTTCCTTCCAGCCAGCAAGGTACATGTACCTCAATGGCTGGAAGGAAAACCTTCCAGTCAGCAAGGTACATGTACCTCGTTGACCGGAAGGAAACCCTTCCAGTCGGCGGGTACATGTACCTCGCCTACCTTCCAGCAGGTGAGGTACATGTACCTTGCTGAATGGAAGGAAACACTTCCAGCCGGTGGCCTCACCGCCAATTTAGAGGGCAGGTATCGAGGATACCCGCTCGGATACCCGCCAGCGGGTGCGGATGCGGATGGCCGTTTCCCCGGAAAAAGCAGCCAGATATCCAGATGCAGAGCAACCATCTCTAGTCATAATTCTCCAGTATAGACTATAGTCCAGAAAAATGCCATCTCCATGGTTGATTGTCTGGGATTCTAATTCCTAGCCATCAACTTTGGGTTGATGGCATTGGCTACACAAGGCATACACTCTCAAGACTACCAAAGAAGGAACCCGTTTTGGTGGCCTTGATAATGTGCACCTCTTGGTGCCCTCAAATAATCCCACCTCCCAAGGTTGATTTGGAATTCTACTTTCCCATAAAAATGACAGATCTACTGTCTGCAATGAACATGGACATATAATCCTGGAAGCCCAAGATAAAGTATTTAAGCCCAAAGTTAGAGAAACCCCAATTGGGCAACAAGCCACAGATGTAAACCCCATTTACACTCCCACTCCCAAAATATGCATATAGCCCAGAAGGGCAGAAAGCTCAGGATAAATTTTATAAATCAGATTCAACAATTGATAGAGTGATTGCACAAAATCTACTTCCCAAAGTTGATTTGAAATCAATTTCAAAGCCAGTCAGGGCACCAGTTTTATCTTCTCCTACATCAAATTCAAATTGCATTTTTTGGAAATTGACCCCTTGCAGAGCAAGGAATTGGAAAAATTAAAATCATTTAGTCAACAATTTTCTGGTCTTGAGTGACTGTTCTGTAGTGGAGGATCATTAAGATTGTGAAGCAGATAGGGAGGGGAAAAAAAGGGTATACTCATGGCATAATTGTGCAAAAAGCTAGCAAAAATCACTAGGCCAATTAGTCTTTACTTTTGAATGTTTGCAAGAGCAAAAGAAATGAGGTCACAAAGACATATGAATTTTCTGAGATATATCTCAACTCATTCATACCACAAGCCATATATGCCATCTGGAGATTCAATGAGATCATCTTCTGAAAGGCTGAATTCTTGCTCCTTGAGGTATTTTGGGGGATTCATGGTTTCAACTTGTGCTAGGGAAGGTGCACAAAAACAGTGTGTTGCATGAATGATTTCTGCTCCTGATAAATTAATAAGGGTAACTTGACTTACGTTTTTTGGGGAGAGATTTGTATGATTCTAATAGTAGGTTTACTGTCTCTTCCATGAATTCTTTGTCTCTTACGTACAACGGCTGGTGCAAAAAATAGTGTATAAGTTGTATTTGATTGGGCTGGAGTACGATTTGATTAATTCCTTCAGTTCCAAACGAGTATCAAGAGAGTCCTATGACTGGGAGACTGTTGTAAGGCGCAAAGATCTCTTTGGCTAGCCACTTTATCAATTTTTCTTGTTCTGCTTCATACTCGAATCGTTCAAATAATTCCAGGTTGAAATCTTCAGCATGTTTCTCAGATAAAGAGGTGATCAAATCTTTGTAGGAAGCTTTGAACAAATCTTTCAACAGTCGGTAATTGTCGTTGTAGGCTAGTACCACTGATGCTCTACCCGGTTGCTTGTCGCTTTTAATGACCAGTCCAAACGGAAGGTCTTTGTGTTTAATGTAGCTCTGAGAGAAACCAGTTTGTTTTCGCTCGTAATATAAACCAAATTCTTTACAAGATTTTTCAATGATATCCTGGGCGATTTCTATGAAGATGTAGGGATGTGATTAAGCCATTTGAGCAGTCCGATTAATCGATCAAAGTGGACTGACCGTGATGAAGATTATACTCAGGCTGTGGTTTTTCCTCGGCAAAAAAATTGAAATAATCTATGGGTCGCTGTAATTTTACAAACTATATTTTACAAGACATATGTCTTGTAAATCAGATGGTTTGTAAAATTACATTTTTATGGGGGTAATGTATAATTTTACAAACCATGACCAAAAAATATGGGTTGCAAAAAAAAGGGTTGCAAAATATGTGCCTTAAAATTGCAACCCATGCCCCATGGAGTAGAATTTTAAGGCACACATGTTGCAACCCTTATGTCTTGCAAACAATATGATTTGCAAAAGTACATTTTTGCCTTATTTCAAGGAATTTTGCAACCATTAGTTTGCAACCCATCTATGAGTTGCAAATTATGTTTTGCAAAATTGCACAACAAGGTATGTAAAATCGAATTTTACAAACCATATTTTGCAACCTTTTTGCCTTCCTTCAAGGAAATTTGCAACCATTAGTGTGCAACCCTTAAATGAGTTGTGATTTATGTGTTGCAAAATTGTAACAGATAGTATGTAAAATTGAATTTTGCAAACATTGTTTTGCAACCTCAAAAAAATCAAAAATGAAAGACACAGCCTCCACAAAAATAAACACCAAAATCAAAGGAAATCAAAAAAAAGAGAGACACAGCCTCAAAAAATAAAAAATAAAAAAGGAAAAAGGAAATCAAAAGAAAAAGAAAAAAGTGAAAGACAGCCTCAACAAAAACAAAAGGGGAAAAAAGAGAAAGACACAGCCTCCACAAAAACAAAAAGGAATTCAAAAAAAGGGAGAAAGACACAGCCTGAACAAAAATAAAAATCAAATCAAAAAGAAAAAAAGACACAGCCGTAAAAAGAATAAAAGGAAGAGTGAAGTTCCAACAGTCCTGCAGAAAAAAAGACACAGCCGTAAAAAGAATAAAAGGAAAAGTGAAGTTCCAACAGTCCTGCAGAAAAAAACATAGAACACAATCATTTCAATTTCATAGATGTTGCGGGTGATTTTTCTCTGGCCTGGAGTTTAGTTGTAGTTGGAGGAGTTGATTTATCTTTGTCTTTGGCCTTGTGGGGTATCAAATTCAATCTATTTTATTTGGTCAAGATTGACTTCATCTCTTTGAAAGGGATGTTGCCAGATGTACCTGGAATTTCTTCAACTATCTTCTGAATCTCCTTCTCAACATACTCTTACTCCCAAGGTGTTCAATTGCGCAAACAAAGGAGCCAGCTCATGTTTTCTTTGACACTGGTGATAGAACTGGGAAGCCAATTAATCTGTTGAGCATTGACCAGGGTGGCCCTTGACCTGAGCTGGAGGGGGGTCCATAAAATAGGCTGAAACTTCCAGAAAATCAAAAATGTCACAGGTTTGCAAAAAGGTCAGACAAGTCACAAGGGTTTCACAGATTTAAAAATCCGTGACATATTATCTTAATAGTATACCCTCCCAAAAGTTTGAGAAAACAAGGTTTCACAGTGTGGGAGATTTGGGACATGTCACATGGATTTCACAGCTTTGAAAATCTGTGACAGATAATGCTAATAGTTTACCTTTTCTCAAAAATTTCAGAAAACAAGGTTTCACGTTGGAAGCTTGATCTTGGCGACTGTGGGAGATTCAATTTAAATCATCATGCATGGTGAGAGTTTAACCTTGTTTGGTGGGTAGATTGTAAATTATGTGTTGTAAAATTCTATTACAGGGTATTAATAAGGTTTTTTACATACTTAGTTTCACAAGACATTATGGTTTGCAAGCAAATGTCATGTAAAATTCTAAATTTAAGGTTTGTTATACAACTTTACAACCTTGTCATGCAAGACTTGCATGATATAGTTTGTAAAATTACATAATCCAATGTTGTGATACAATTTTAACAAACATATTTTACAAACCATTTTTTTACAACCTTTGAAAATCACAGATGGGTTGTAAAATTATACATTACCCCCATAAAAATGTAATTTTACCAACTATCCGGTTTACAAGACATATGTCTTGTAAAAAATAGTTTGTAAAATTCACTTACCCCATAATCTATTGCCTTTGTTTTCGAGCTTTCAGCATTGTCCCAGTCCCACTCATGTTCACTGTTGCTTGAGCCTGGGTTGATTAATTTTTTTGAATGTAAGATTTAGTTGATAAATTATCCATCTATGAAAAGGGAGCACAGATTCACTCACCAGAACTCCACGAATCCGGAGATTGCAATACAGGAGAATGAACGTAAGAAACGTCGGAGTCAGAAAGATGCTCATTGGCAAATCGTTGCTTGCTTGATGGTGTCCATTGCATCTCATCACCCCATGCATGTTCACCTTGAGAGGAGCCTGCAGTGATCACGTTGATGAGAAAGAAAAATGAAAAAAATCGGTAATCCTCCTTGGTTGAGAAGCCATCCAAGATTCACTCACCACTGGGACTTGTAGTGTCCTGATCATGTGATACGAAACTGCGACCTCCAACAGATAAATCATAGTTTGGATGATATGGGTACCGCTCGGTAAATTTGGGAATTGTGATACATAGGGGAAGACGATCGTGACATCGAGTGACCTGCTTCGCTCGAGCTAGTTGATCTCTGTGAGCCCTGGCGTGGAATCGAGATTGGGGCTGAAGGCCCTGGTGCCCCGAGGGAAAACCGACGGATCGGAAAATCATCTGCTTCACTTGAGCTACTTGAGTCCGATGAGTATTCCGCAGGCCATCTCATCCTGGATGGTTTGATTGCGAAAGCAGTGGTAAAGAAGCAAAAAATGAACCAGAGAAGTCGATGATGTAGAAAGATAACATGGAACGTCATGTTGGAGGTGAGATGGTATGGCCTGTGGCACCCATCGATATCCGCGGTGGAGGAGCTGGAGCCTGGAAGGACCAAGGAATAACTCGTTTATACCTACAGCTATTGCAGCATCGATCCATGGGATCTGAATGTACATATGTATCATTGGGGAGACTTATGGCACAGAAGAGAACAGAAGAGGAACCTGGCGGCCGAAACAGTTCTTTGAAATCAACAGGTTTCAGCCCTGAAAGTCAGCTGTAACCAAGCGAGTTCCAGATTCACTTGAGAGATAAGACCTTAGGAGACATTGGGATGAGCCATAGCCCGCTTGCAATCATTCAGGAGATTCACGCAACCTTAAAAAGCGGATTGATTGAACTCAGTTATCCAATAAACCTAGCTAAATGAGTCTCGTATGTCTCAATTTTCCCTTTCCTTTCTGTAGGAGTAACTCGGTTCCAACAGATACTGCTCCTGATCATTTTTTGGTTGAGGTGAACGAGGGGAGATTATAGAACCAAATGCTGTCATTTATCAGCTCCCATTGACTTCTAAACTAGCAAAATACTTATGCGTTCATGTGGGTATTCTGACATTGGAATAATTAATGGGTTTGATTACAAGGTTTCTCCTTAATAGATAATAGCAGAAAACCAACTTGTCTTCTGTCTTCAACGATATATTTGAGCAAGTGTGAATTTTGACGGTCAGTTGGCGCGATTTCCTCTAATATTCTAGTTCTCGGGCTTTTTGCAAACGAACTACAGTCAAAGAGCAAATAGTCATTCGAATCAGTAGGAGTAAAATAAAAAAGATGTAAAAAATTGTTGTGTTGTTGCACTGACCAGCATCATCGGAGTGAATAATTTAGCTTCACCGCCTGCTACAAGAGCATCAGCTGCAAGCTTAAGGGCCTCTCCGATGTCAAATGTGCCCTTGGGGGCCAGGCCAACACCTTCGAGTACTCGGACCATTGATTGAGTGACGACTTTACCGAACCATGTCATTCTGATCACTGTTGCATAATCCCAAACGGTCTGACATTCCCTCAAGTTACCACGTAGGGGGTAGAACCACGGTATTTGGTCATCACGAGCGGCAAGATCTTCTTCACAGACGATTTCAAATCCAACTGTCTTCAGAGCATCCCGGGCCTGGGCGATCGTCCTCATCTCCGCAATTCCGTCTCCGATCTCGATCCCATGACTGATCTTGCGATGCTCGGGATTGTTCTTGTCATATTTGTCTGTCATGCACCATTCGTACATTCCAAACTGTGCAGAGTAATGATGTATCAGCTTTGCTCAACAAGGGTTAAACGGGACCAATAAACAAATTGAAGTGTAACGTACTTTGCCACCAGGCTTCAAAACCTTCATGATCTGGCCGTAAACTCCTTCCCAAGTTGGTGCATGGCAAGTGGCCTCGATTGCATACACTGCATCGAAGCTATTCTCCCCGAATTGTTCTACGAGGTTCATAAAGTCGCCTTTGACTACCTCCACTTGATGACTCAATCCAGCTTGAGCGTTGTACTTGTTGGCTCGTCTGACTTGATATTCGTTGTTGTTGACCCCAATTATTTGACAATCGCTGAAGACTGCCATTTCGCGAGCCGGCCCTCCGACTCCACAGCCAACGTCCAGCACTCTCATGCCTTTTTGTAATCCCACTTGAGCTGCGAGGTAGTGCTCATGTCGAGCAATCGCTTGCTGGAACGCTTCACCCGGATAGTAACGAGCGAAGTGGAAATTCTGTACTCGTTCAAAAAATCACACCCAAGAATCAATCCACATGAAGACTTGATAATTCGATATCCCTGTAACTAGTTTGTAAGAAATACAAATCTAACCTTTCCCCAACCGTATTCGTACAAATCGGTTGCTCCATCATAATAGGAATTCGTCACATTCTCGTACTCCTTAATCCGATGCTGGTTGTCATTTTCGGTATCATCCGCAGATTTGGTTTTCCAAAACTGAGTATATTGGCCAATCCTAGCCCGATTCCTGACATCGCCCGATTGGTGATCGACATGGGCTGGGGCCGTTTCAACGCCAGTCGAAGATGCGGTCATCTCGATTTGTATTTTGAGGGTATATCTCTGCAAGAAAGAAAGTACGTTGAGACTTGAGGAACGATGTTCTTGGGGTTCAAGAGGGGATACAATTCGAGTTGGTTGGCTACCAGTGGGGTATCGATGCGAATGAGTTTACTGATTAACTTAGCCCGACAGGAGACAGATGATCGCCTGAACGATGTCGATAAAACTACCAAGAAAGACGCAAAGATGATGATGGGTAATATTCAACTTTCAAGTGTCAAAGACAAATTTCTTGAACCTCCCTATCTATTGGACCCCTGTAGCCTCCTGTAGCCCCCTGTAGGTTGTGGATGGCTTATGTCATCAGGTAACTTCACCACAACTTTGAAAGTTCTGTCACAGATACAGAGCCATCTTGACAGACAAGCCTGATTCTCAAAGGTTGTTTTTTGCTTTTTTTTTGAAAGTAAGAGCAACTCCACCGCGGCCCGTATTTTTGGGCCGCTAAATTATGATCGTTGGGACTGCGAAGCCAACTTTACAGCCTTAAAGTGCTGCGGCATACACCGCAAGAGTCTTTAAGTATTTGTGAAAGGATGAGTGGTGTGTGAAGTTGGAACGGATTTGTATTGAGGCAGTAGAGTTTCACAAGCTGATTGTTGTGTGAAAGGGGATTGGGCAGTCGATAGAGGAGTCGCTAGGAGTCCCTACATGTAGGGACTCGGGCTTGAAATTTAGGGACGGCCGTAGATTTGAGACACAAATAGCGGCCGCGGTGGCTCACGTTGAGTCGGTAAATTCCAACTAGCGACCCGATTTACCGACCGCGGTGGAGTTGCTCTAAGGGTACACATGCAAACCTTGATCTGCAAGCTCGAGCCTCGGACCTCAGTGAGGAAAAGAAATTTGGGATAAGACAACTACAAAAGACAGAATTATGTCTCCTCTTTGACAATTAAAACCAAGTCCTTCTTTCCGTTTGATGCATGGTTACCTGAAACATGAAGTTGTAAACCTAACAAGGGGGCATGATTTTGGTGGCAGGTGTCTTTGAGCAACAGCTTAAGTACATCTTCAGTATCTCGGATTCCAGTGAATTTGTTGTCCAGCTTGCTGCACCCCCGGGCTATGAATTGATGGAGCAACGAAAGACACACAGTGGCCAATTGATTGAAGAAGCTAGTGAGACAGACCGATTGATGTCGTACTCGTCTTCGCTTGATGTTCACTTTTAATTTTATCACCTTCCTGGCTTCAGAATTGAGTGTTGCTCTGTTAGAACGAAGCCGGTTGTGCAAGTCCGTTGCGTGGAGCCGGGTGCAAAGATACTCAAGGAACTAAATATACCCAATGGACCAATCACTACTCCATCGACCTTGCCTCCAGAATTACATAAAAGGGGCATAACAATCATCTTCCATCCCCAATTTACCTCTCGGCCGTTGTATAGTCCAAATTAACACCTTACATAAATCAGATTGATCTTCCGTTTATAATCAATTTGTCGAAATGCATCTCCTTAAGCATGTGATACTCTGGTCCTGCGCGACAACTCTGCCTCTGGAAATCCTAGCTAACAGCAAGGGATATGTAAAGTGTCCGCCTCCTGGTCACCAAAATAAAAACAAAATTAAACCATACTGTTATGTGAAGGTTAAAGATGAAGCATCTGGAAAGATTTTTTACAATGGTAAGGTTTTTTTCTACTCAAGACAGTCAAGAGAAGATTCATTGACCTGTGGAATTCTCAACAAACTGATTTTGATGCATTTTTTTTTGGCATTGGGATCATATGGGTATACCTTGAATTTTAGCTTTCCTACCCATTAAAATGTTTGACAGTAATGCCAATCCAGTGCTTAGTTGTACTAGGGAAAATGTTGCCCAGCTTCCAGGAATGTGTTGCACAGCCAAATTCACACCTGTATGCTTGTATGGTCCTCATTTTTTCTTTGAGTAGAATACTGGGACTGATTGATTTGGTTTAACACAGGTTAAATATGACACCCCTGGAGGCAGAGTAGTACACAGAGCTCCTGAGGCAAGCACAACCTCACAATGTGCCTTTTTATGAAAAAAAAAATCAAACAGTATATTTTTTTAAAATCCGGCCATGGAGACAGGCAAACATGGTAATCAGTCTTCTCCAAAAAAGGTATACAAAATAGATTATTTGAAACACACTTTTCATGAAACTTGTCCTCCTTCTTCAAGCTCCTCCAACAACTATCCAATCTTTTTCAGATTCATTTTAGAATTCATATTTCATCAATTCCAATAATTTTTGGTTTTATTTGTGTTACAGATGTATTTAATTCTCATGATTTTCCTTGTTGTGCATCACACTAGTCTGATTTTAATTCCACAGAAATGAGTAAATGTAAAGAACATTTTAACAGAAATTTTAAGTTGTGATACAGACTTTTACATATTTTTCCAAATTTGAAGCTTGGTGCAAGCTTTTTAAGGCTAACTTAGAAATTTGCCTGTTCAGCGCCTCAGATAGTAATCCAGAAATACAAATGTCTAGATAGTTCATGTCAGTGGTCCACCAGTGTAGTGTAGTTTAGCATCCAAATTTTGGTGGGAGACATAGATCAGAATATTTTCACTCTATAATACTCCCTGAATAGGTAATTGATTTCAGTTGAGAAGAACAAAGAACCTATAAGCAATTCATCAATCACAGGTTGCAATACAAAATGAAAAATAAAAAATATGGTCTTGCAAGCGCGTCTGGGCACAAAACAAAGCCCCACTTGGCCGAGTGCCACCGGGGGTTTGGTTTGTGCCCAGAGGGCTTGATCATCTCAATTCTGTGGGGGTCAGGACTTGGCACATAGCCAAGCCCTGCTGGGCCAATTTCAAGCCCTGGGCACATAGGATCATTGACTTGTTGACCAAGACCCAGCTTGGAAAACACACCACCACCACCACCAGCTTCAACAGCATATCTCTTTGTGGTCAGTTTTTTTTGGTTTTTTCTTCTTTACTTGCAAAAATACTGACTGCTCCTGCTTTGCCTATGACCACTTTTTGATTGTGGTTGACTGGGTCTTCAACAAAATTCGACCTCATATGGTAAACAACAATCCAACTTCAACCTCAGATGGTAAACAGTGACCCGAACAGTGGTTGTTGGCTTGCCGAGCTGCTTCCCTTTGCCTCATTGATTGCTTCACAAGCTCTCTGATCAAAGTTGGCCGACTTCCTCGGACAGTAAATATCCTAATCAATTGCTCTACAAGAGCGCCGATCATAGTTAAACAGCTTCCAATCAATTGCTCTACAAGAGTGCCAATCAGAATTAAACGGTTTCCGCCTCGGAAAGTGAAAATCCTACTTGGAAATCGCCAACATGTGCAAGATTAAAAAAAATGCAAAAAATGTAGATATGCTCCTATGTTTGTTTTTTGTTGCTCAAGAGACATGTTTAAGATAAAAAAAATGAAAAAAATGTAGATATGTACCAACAGTGGGCCAGCTACGCTAACCGTAGCATTAGCGTAGCGTAGTGTAGCAAAAAATTGCTACAATGTAGTGTAGCGTTAGCGTGTTTTTCAATTTCTGCGCTAACGCTACATGCATGGGGGAAAAATTTGCGCTAACGTTTAGCGTAGCGTTAGCGTGATTCCCCCCATGTGCGCTAACGCTACGCGCACCGGGCGCAAAAAACCGCCCGCTACGCTGTGTTACAGCCGTTTTTAGCAGTTTTTAGGCGTTTTTTGCCGCTAGAAACGCTGTAGCGTAGCGGCGCCAGCGGTGCGCTAACACTACACCGAAAATTGGCTAGTGTTAGCGTAGCGCAGCGGCAGTAGCGGCGCGCTAACACTACACGAAAAAATGGCGCCGCTACGCTAACGCTACATGGGCCTGTAGCCTAGCGGCCCACCACTGTATGTACATAATCTCAAGGCACAGTGGCTGGCTTCCAAAAAAAGGAAAAACATGAGTGGTTGAAATGCAAGGCTCCTGTGTATCAGTCCCAATCATTGAGCGAAATACACTTTTTGGGGATGAAGATTCTGATGTTCTCCTCAAAGTACTCAAAGAGATTGGCTTGCCAATCAAGACCCGCAAAACTTCAAGTCCTCAGCACCGTGCAGCACTGCTGAATGCCCTAGCCTCCTTGAAGCCTAATTCATCATTCTCCCCATCAAGCTATGCTGCGAGTCCAACCTGCTCAGCAACGAGACCAACAAAAATGATCATATGAGTAAAACAATCTTATGAGTGTTGGTGCAACCATCAAACACCATCTCAAGTTTCTGATCAATGCCGGTTTTAAAATTGACCCAGCTGCTGTTCAGGCTAGAGATGGGCCAAGTTGGAGGATGTCATCTTGCCGATCAGCCCTCCTTCCTCATAGCTGACCGACTTGATCTTGGTGCATCAAGTTTTTGGGGGTGTGGCACCCTCACTTGATTTCAACCAAGCGAGGCTTTGCTCCAACCCCCGCCAACTTTGACATGTGTCAAGCGAGGGTTGGGAGAGTGCCACATGGGCTTTATAATTGGCCAATTGTGCTTTAAGATTTGCCCAGAGTGCTTGGCCTGTTTTTGGCCCAGACTGGCACCAGGGGAAATTTCAGGGCACTGGTTGCCCAGTGACTGCATGTCACCATAAAATCAAACAAAAATCACAAAAAATCACTTTGGTATCAAACCTGAAATTCCCATATTTTTCACAGTATTGGGAACTGATTTTCTCATATCTTTCACTCAACATTCAGACAAAATTCAAAATAAAATACTATCAAAGTCACTAGAGTTTCCTCATGTGATGAGTTTTTTATTTCACTTCTAATTTACAGAAATAGTAAATAGAATCAGCACAGAATGATTTTTTCTGCAGCCCCAGCATAAAAGTTTGAAAGTCTCTTGATCAGATCAGGATATTCTTTGTAGATTTAGATCCTCTCACACCAGTCAATTTCATCAAACTTATCATTTCCAGTTCTAAATCTAATACTTTCTCAGATAGATTCTGGAATTCATTTCCCCTAGTACAATAAAAACAGCCTCAAAATTACCCAAGTTTTAATAAAATTAAAAAAAAACTGTAATTTCTTCATATAAACACAATACAATCAATAAGATGAGCTTTAAAAAACTCAATCATGAGACAACAAAATTTCTAAATTGAATTCACGAGAGGATGATTTTTTCATGGGTCCTATGGGACGGCGGCAGAGAATCATGAGAAAAAGGAAAAAAAACAAGGCTGGGAGGGGTTTCCTCAAAGCCTGAAGACTATAAACTCATAGCAGCTCATTGGGAGAAAACCCTCCCAATGAGCTGGTTTCAAATCCAGCCCATTGGGAGGAAACCCTCCCTATGAACTGGGCTTAAGACCAGCTCATTCAGAGGTTTTCCTCCCAATGAGCTGGTACACAGTCCAGCTCATTGGGAGGAAACCCTCTTGATGAACTGGGCTTAAGACCAGCTCATCAATAGTTTTTCCTCCCAATGAGCTGGTCTTAAGCCCAGTTCACTGGGAGGGTTTCCTCCTGATGAGCTGGTCTTAAGCCCAGTTCATCGGGAGGGTTTCCCCCCAATGGGCTGGATT